GAAAACCCTCAAGGGCTCTTTACTGCTGTTACTTGAGTTATATATTTCATGTCCATGTCACCACCCTCAAAGCTATCATAGCTATTGTTTCTCAGTCAGTTACTGGCTGGGAAAAAAAGGGGGAACAGAGGTTATATAGTAGGTATGTATGGAGAGGGAGGTCATTCATCCCAACTTCAGGTCTTAACTGTCCTTACATTGCTAGCTTTTTTCTCTCTTCGCCAAGAAAAACAAACCATCCTCACCATGCTATGAGAAAGAAAAGAAAATGACTCTTCTATTACCTCTAAGCATTACCTATTAGTGTGAGAACTGCTAGAGATATAAAAGAGAAACATGTTTGAGGGGTAGTGATATGAGAAAAAACATATCATTTATAGTTTATTCTATGGAAACTTCCTGTAATATAAAATATTTCCAGTTATCAGAGTTAGGAGGAAGGAGATATCACTAAGGGAATGAGAATCTTTTTTTTTTTTTTTTTAAGATTTGCTTATTTATTTTATACAAGAACCCGGGTACAGTCCAGATGCGCGGAAGGGTGAGAAGATTCACCAGAAACAGAGTGGGGAACAGAACAGGCAGACTGATGAAATCCACTGCTAAGGGGAGCAGCAGGGGTGGCAGACCTCTCCTGTCGCGCCATGTGGGACCCTTGCCAGACGGCCGGGATCGAACCGGTGCTGCAGAGACTGAGGACAGCTTCACAGCACGTCGCTCAACCACCTGCACCACCAGGGGAGGCCCGGGAATAAGAATCTTTTATAGTACAGTTAAAAAGTCATTCTTATTTATAGTCTCCAGATGATCTATTTGAATAATAAGAATAACATGCAGTCTCACCCTAGAGGTATAAAGATATCTGTCTATCTATCTGTCTATCTATCTAATTGGATACCAACTAGATATGATGGGAAATCTTGGTGACTTCCTTTGGGATTTCCCGTCACACTTTCTCAAGTTCCACAAACTTTTGGATGCCTGCTGGTACCTTCTGGAGAAGACTGTGAAGCCATAATGAACTCTCTAGCTCCCTCTGCCCCAGTATTCTTCGTGGGTAGGTGGCTTCCCAGCAGCAGCCTCTACTTCCCAACAATATTTCATCTGGTCCTAAAACACACCCAGGGAAAATCCCTTCTACCATGCTTAGCGTCTTCAGTGGAGTCACTTGCAGAGAATGTACTCTTCCCTTCTCAAGTCTTATGGAATGTAGTTTTTGCTGAGTTATCACATATGCTTTTCCTTCAGTCCTTGGGAGTCTGCTTTACTATTCTCCCTTTGCTACCTATCCTGTTAAAATGAAGAAAAAATCTTTTTTATTCTGTCTAAGTTCTTGATCAAGACCCTGTAACCAAAGACAGATTAATAAGAGAAAAAAATTAATATAAGTTTTATGTGACATGGGAGCATTCGTAATGAAATGAAGACTCAGAGAAGTGGTTAAAACTGCTTTTATTGTTTGGCTTGATGAAGAATGGAAAATACAGGATGAAGAAGAATATGAACTAAGTGACATAAACTAGGAGAAACAGCAAGGCTTATTTGTTCTGACGCTTCTCAGTGTCTTGGAGATTAGGATGTACAGGTTTGAGGGTTTTCTCACCTGCTTAGTGGTAGGTTAGAAAGTTCTTCCTGCACATGCCATTTTTCAAATGCTTCAGCTTAAATTATTCAATATGTCGGGCCTCCCTAGTGGCACAAGGAGTTAAGCACCACACTATGAAGCAATCTGCAGACTCTGCAGCACGAGTTCGATCCCCAGCTGGCCAGAGAGAAACTCACATGGCACAGCAGACCTCTCCTGTCTCACCCGCTGCTCCCCTCAGCAGTGTATTTCAGTCAGTCTGCCTGTTCTGCTCCCCGCTCTGTCTCTGGTGAATCCTCTCACCGCCCCCTCCCTTACATCTCTAGCCTGTACCCCAGCTCTTGTATGCATAAATAAATAAATCTTAAAAAAATTCAATACGCCAAAGTGCCGTGTTGTGGGGTCTCATCATGGTAAGAGTCCTGTTTTTTGTTTTTTTTTAAAGATTTATTTATTTATTTATACTAGAACTGGGTACAGTCAGAAGTGCGGGAGTGTGAGAGAATTCACCAGAGCCAGAGCGGGGAGCAGAGCAGGCAGAAGGACCGAGGTAGACTGCTGAGGGGAGCAGCGGGCGACAGGAGAGGTCTGGTCTGCGTGCCATGTGGGACCCTTACCCAGTGGCCCGGGAGCAGCCTGGGATCGAACCGGCGCTGCAGAGGCTGCGGGCAGCTTCGCAACCCAGCGCTCAACCGCTGTGCCACCGGGGAGGCCGAGTCTTGGCTTTTCATAACAAACTTGTTTATCATTCTTCTTGCACAAGAGACACCTATAGTGCCTCTCCCCTGCCTTAAAATTCTGCTTGTTTATTTTGTTTAGATTCAATGGGAGTGGATTGGTGAATGGTGTATTATTGTTCATTCTGTGGATCTTTACAAAATTCTCTTTCTTGATACTCTGCTCTGCCACCTACATAGTACAAACTGAATTCTCACATACTGCCATTCCATGTGCTTTGAGACTTACTAACCAAACAACTCAATCAAGAAAAAGAAATGTAGTGATAGGAGCTGGTGAACTAAACTTTGCATTTGGCATGGGAAAAGATAATTTAGTTTATATTTCTGCTTTTCTCTCAGACTGAACAGACTTAAAAATGACTTTGTAAATAACAGCAGCCTGATACATGTTTGTAAAAGTATCACAATGAAAGGAGATGACAAAAGAGTGGTAGCAGAGTCTGTTGTTTTAGCAGGTAGATTAAGGGATAGATTGGGACCCCCAAACTTGCATGCTCTACATGAGTTTGCCCTATGCCACATAAGGAACAAATATTCTTAGTATAGAAGAACTTTAGTTGGATAGTGTAATTCCCTATTTAGGGAAAGGAGAGGTAGGATTTCCCACTGAAACACCCATATTTACCTCTCCCCTCATGGATAAATGCCAACCAAACAAGACTGGCCCCAATTGGGTCACTGAGGCCCAAAAGCTTGTCACAAGTCTAAGGCACTTTCTGGTGAGAAACCATAGGAAAGGGGAAAAATGGGCCCCTTTTCATTAGGTGGGGGAGGGAACGTGGAGTTCCTTTTTTATGGAGATTCCTCACTGTAACAGGTGGAGACTGACACACACACAATATGTTTAGGTTTTAAATTGTATTTATTTGACTACCTAGCTGAGACAGACTTAATATATAAATTAAAAGCTCTGAATTCTAAAAATAACCTTTCAATATTTGTTCTCTAGGTCAACAAAAAACTGTTAATGAATCCAATTTTAAATTGTGAACAATATTTACATCCCGATTATTGAGTTATTCTTAAGAGATGCCAGTGAAGGCCTCCCTGGTGGTGCCAGGGATTAAGTCACAGCACTATGAATCTATAGGCAGCCGCTGCAGCAAGAGTTCGATCCCCAGCCAGGGAGCTAACCAACATGGTGCAACAGACCTTTCCTGTCTAGCCCGCTGCTCGCCTCAGCAGTATATTTCAGTAGATCCACCTATTCTGCTCCCCAATCTGTCTCTGGTGAATCCTCTCATCCCCAGTTCTCTGACCTGTCCTCCAGTTCTTGTATGCATAAATAAATAAATCTTAAAAAAAGAAAAAGATGCCTGTGAAAGAGGGGCTGGTATCTATAAAACAATGCAATTGAAGTAGCTGGTATGTCTTTCAAAGGTCCATGAAAATTCAATTAAGTAGTGTAAAGACAAGTGTATTACCAAATGATTCCAATGAAAGATCAGTGAGAAATTTAGTCTTTTATCCCATAGAATTAAGAGAAGACTTAGTAAAACAATTATAACCCTCTGCATTTCTGGACTATAAATTAAGCACATGGATTGGTTTGCTAATGAAACTGAATTCATTTGCAGTTAAAGGTGCATTGTAAGCTCAATGATTAAACTGATTTACTTGAATAAGAAGTAAGCAGATAGCAAAAACAATCTTTGCCAATATTTATTAATATAAGGGTATAAATATATAGAATGAAAAAAGTATATTAATTTAACATCTTTCAGATATACAAATAAGTGTTTAGTTTTTTTTATTTGCCATATGTACCTACTGATTAATATAGAGAATTAGTACAGCAGATACTCAAATAACCCATTTCATTTGACAATATTTTGTTACAATCCTGATGAGAAAAATAAAATCAATTCATGACAAGGGCCACTTGCTGGAGTTTCCCCATGCCTCCCCAGGTTTTCTCTGGAAACTCAGGTTTCCTTGCTCATGTCAAAGATGTGTATATTAGCATGCATATTAACCAGGCCTGATTGACGTGTGTAGGGGGGTGTGAGTGAGTCCTCTGACGGCAAGTGTCCTGTCCAGACAGGCATCGACTCTGGTGGGATAGACCCTGGCCACTCATACTCTGACCTGGAACAAGCAGGTTGGAAAATGAGTGAAGAAATACAAACCATTGTTTAATATTAAAGTGTTTGTGAGTCTTTATTTAGAAGTTTGATGGTATTTTGTGACCATAAATAGATTGTAGGAAATTATTTTTTTATCAATGGTAAAATTGGCTTGTAAAATTGGCTTTGATTTCACTGTTGTTTTGCTTGAAGTTGCAGTTTCCAAGCATCTATCCACAACTTTAAATGAAGATTTACATTTTTGATTAAATCCTGACAACCTTCTTCTACAACTGATAACCTTTTTGTAAAAATTCTGTGTAACTCTTTTCTATTGTTGTTGGCTGTTCATGATTGCAAGTAATTACTAAGTTAGATTTCCTCTTGGAGCAAGATAAAGATGAGATCTATCAATAAAAACCTCTTTCAGTTTAAATTATATTTTAAAAGGCAAATGCAACTGATTATTTTTCATAGAACTTGGAAGAAACTATGTTATTTATTATTCTTGGAATTAATTATGTTAATTATTTGTGTTGGATTAACAATATCAAATGGGAGAATGTTAATTCATTGAATAAGTGATTTTTCACATTTTCATTGTTTCAGTTGACCTATCTTTAGTGAATAAGGATGAAAACTCCATCTACTTCTTGGGAAATTCTCATGGACTTCAACCAAAGTTGGTTAAAACATATCTGGATGAAGAACTAGATAAGTGGGCCAAAATGTAAGTATTATTTCAAAATCTATCATTCAACATCCCATAAAAAAACTATAAAATTCACAACAGGTTGTCTAATGTTTTTGGAAAGGGGTATTGTAGAGTCCTAGAATTATAGTTCAGAGAGGAAACTTAGGGATGATATCATTCAATACTTTCATTTTGTGGATGAATAACAGGGTTTGTAAATAAAGTCATGTGGCAAGTTAGCAGAAGAGTCAGAAGTAAAATTTTAAAAGTATTCAGAAGTTTAAGTCCCTTCCCTGAGTGTGTGTGTGTGTGTGTATTTTTATATATAATACATTATGTATAGTATGTACATGTTTATCTATTATATATAAAATCATATTTGATTATTTTGTTTTATTTTTAATGACTAAAAAGGGAGCTAATACTTAGGATATAATTTTATTTTTTAGCATTAGTTCTTGACAAAACTCTATCACTCTAATTTTAATAGGTTAAGAATCAAAAAATATAGAAGGAGATTGAGGGAGCAGATATTTCCCTCTCCAAATTGAGCATGATATCAGGAAGATGCTTCATTTTGATTTAGCTAAGTAGATTCAACCCAAAAATTGTGTAATCTTAAATCAAGATTCATTTCTTCCCTCTATCTCTTTGGTTCTACTCCCACCCCTCTGCCTATGAAACCATCATAATCTCTTCTTATTAAATACTTATTCTCTTTAAACCCAATTTTATCAACCACACTGATTATCCCTTCCCAAATTTCCACTGTATCAATAGTCATTGATCTAGAGGAGGTAGTTTAGAGATGTCTGTTTTCACATTTTTTATTTCATTATACAGTTTTTGAGAAAGTAACCCAATCTTATGCACTTTGTATTGTTCCCCAGAAATTAACATTAACACTGAAACTACAAAAAGTTTAAAAATATTGTTAGCTATAGAATTTATTATTTTGAAATTTTAAATATTTAAAATATTTTCTTATTATTCAAAGCTGAAAAATAAATATAAGGGGCAGTTAAACCTGAAAATCAGGAATAAAAAATTGATGAAGTCAAACAAGAAAAGAAATCTGAGCGATATATTTAACTCTCATAGCAAATCAAAATGTCTTCTCCATGTGTCTTCAATCTTCATGTCAATGGTTTTAGTTGTGGGGGAGGGACAACATCTCTTTAAAGTTTAATTTATGCTATCATGGCTATTAGCTGACATTGAGAAGTTCTTAATTTTGATGGTTAAGAATGTAAGTTCACAACTTAATGCAAGAATGATAGAGATTTATATAATTTATTAAGACTTATAAATTTATCTACAGAACTTTTGTGCATAAATTGAAAAATGAATATCACCACATTTGGAAGCATTTTGCACTAGCAGATTTTAGTATTTAAAAAATGAGGGTCATAGCTAATAAAAATGGTTAATATTCATTTTTGGCCTTAATATAAAAGAGAACAGAGAATTAGATTGAATGAATTTGAACTTTAGAGAGTGTTCTTGCCTCCTGGATATTCATATAGCAAGATAGTGTGCATTTTTATCCTCAAGGCATTTAAAAAAATTGCTGCCCTACTATGCTGTTTATGTCTTTAGGATTATCCTACTTTGCTCAGGGACTGGTTGATTATTTTCAAAACTTTAAAGTTAAATTCCAGAAAAGTAGCTATCTGTCATTACACTTACCCTTCTATTGTTTTCACCTTTCAATTTTGTTACCTTGTGATAATAGAAAATTATATAACCTTAAATCCTCCTACCTATTTTTCATTAGACAGATGATTCACAAAAGATCTGTGTTTTAATACTTCAAGCAACGCAAGCTAAATTTTAAAAAGACTTCTAAGAAAAAAAGTATTAGGTAGCTAGTTTCTTTTGTTTTATTTAGTCTTGCTTTCATTTCGGTGGCCCAGTCACCATCAGAGCGCTGTCAGCTCTTCGAGATCAGCAGTGTTTGAGATGCCTGATTATAATCCTGTTCCCTCCTACACTAGTCCTCATCTTTGACCTCAAAAATGTTTGTTAATTATTTCTTTGATCTTAATAATTTAGGTTAAATTCCCACTCTGGCTTTTTCTAGTTAAGGTTTTGTTGGGAGGAACTTTTCTTCCATTAACTTATGTCCTAGTGATTGAGGTCCTGCAATTTAATTGACAATAGGTAAACTATCAGGGATAAAGTTCATTTCACAAATATGTAGAAACTCTACAAGGAGTGATTCACCAATCAGACAGAGGGAGGGGTTTATACACCATTTTAATACAAGAATGTTAAGAGCATCAATAGGGATGTATGGAAGTTTATGTTGCAAGTTTTCCTCCTAATGATAATGGTCAGTATACTTTCTGGCTGGCAGCTCCCTGAAAGGGAGATTGATGAAAACTGAATTAATACCTCCACGTAGCAAAGGTCCTGCTTCCTCTAAGGGTGGGTCTATGGCAGCTATGTTTTTTAAAAGATCTACTTAAATTGAGGTAATGTTTCTTTCTTTGGCTATAGTTTGTACATATGTTTTTAGTTTAAAGTAGCCTTTATGTAGTTGGTGAGCTTTTGGTACTTCAGTTCCATTTCTGTTGCTTTTGTTCGTGTACTAAAGTTCCTTTTATGTGATTAGTTGGCTTCTAGATCAAGAGCCTTCCATTATTGTGGTTATCGACTTTAGTTCATGGTTGTGATCTTCCATGTCCTTATATTTTATAACCTATTGCAGACACACTACTTATATTACCTACTATAAAATAAATGATCACTGTTCATTATGGAGCCAGACCTTATAAGTATGGTTATCATCTTAGATTACTTATTCTAAAGGGAAGTCAAGAATTGAGATATAGTTAAAAATATTTTAGGATCCAAATGATTCCTTCTAGAACTTCAAGTTATTTAAGGCAAAACTTTAAAAATAAAACACCTGTGCATATGTTTTGAAATACCATTGTTATTTTCCAATATTAATTTTTTTAATATTTTATTTTATATAATTCTTACATCATTTGTCATTATTGCACAATGTATGCATTTTCATTTTGGTTATATTCCCCACACAATTTCACCCCCCCTCCCTTATTTTGACCCTCATCCATCCTCTCCTCCCCTTATTACTCTACTGTGGAAATCATATACAGTAATTTTCAACTGTATATGATTTCCACAGTAGAGTAATAACATTTAATTATCGCGAAATTATGCTATAACAACAAGAAGCAACAATATCAATATACTTGTACTCTGTGAGTGTACTAAAATGGGCAGGAGAAAGCTAAATGAATTTTTTTAAAACATTTTACATAAAAATATCAAATATTTACTAATGACTCAAATTATTTAAAAGGGAATAATGTGGTGGTAATAATCATAGTGGTAAATTTCATCTAGTGAGTTGAAGACAATATTGTGAGTTAAAGACAATATTGTGAGTTAAAAAGTGTACATGATTACCCTAAGATACAGTCTCAATATTTCAGTTCCTCTGTATTGTCAAATCATGTAGATAAATTGTGTTCTTTCTTTTCCAAAGAAGTAAAACCTTGCTGCAGTTGTGTCATTATTGGAATTCTTCTAAGAGCTGTGACATTTTAGGTACGATTATTTAAAGAGAAAAAAAGTCCGCTGAGTTACACTGCAGGGACAAACCACCTATTTGCGGACAGTGACTTACTTTACATGGCAATATGTGTGCAGAAAGGGCACGCGGAAATTCATAAGAAAAAGAGAAGTGAGCCTCTGCAGACTCTGCAGTCTCTTTCATTTTCTTTTTCAAAAAGAAAAAAAGTGCACGATAGGGGAGGAAGGATATTCCCTTTACCCTCCTAATGCTCATAATTGGGCCTATGAAATAAATAGACAATTTGCAGATTAATAAGAGAAAAGGCATGAAATTTTATTAATTTTTGAAGTGAATTTTCAGCTTTTTTTAAGGTAAATGTAATGTTTATTTTATTCTTTAAAATTTTTATTTTTTTAATTTTTTTTTGAGGTAACATTGGTTTACATCGTTGGTTGTATTCTGGAAGTATCGGCCCCCCATTTTTAAGATTACATGCATGAGAGCATCATATAAAAATACTGATCACTGAAAAAAGCTGTGCAGTTTTAGCACTTACAGATCTATTGTCTTACCAGGGGAAGAGGAGCACAGAGCCATACTCCCATTTAAGGGAGAAAATGATTTTTAGGAAAGACGGGTGAGCTCTTAGAAGACTAGATGGAAGTTTTAATTTGAAAATGAAAATTAAATACAAGAGAAAATTGATAGGAAATAGGAAATATTGTGGAGTTATTTGAGTCTGGGCAACTAACACAAAAATTGAAAGGCTACTGAAGTCTGTGCCCTCAAGAGCTTGTCCAGGCACGCTCAGACAAGTTCATCTGCCGGAATAGGTGCAGTAGTCTACCTGCCACAGAAACGGATGGACACTCAGTCACTCAGGTCCTAATGACCTCTCCACCACTCAGAACTGTACTGACTGGAAACTTGATTTGCATAAAGCAGAATGTACCTAGCCTCATCTAACCTTTTGTATACAGACATGCTTGCAGTCCCAGGCAACTTTGGCATGCAACTTCAGTGCTTATTGGGGAGCATGAAAAAAATCCCTCATGCCTCTGGGTCTTTGTTGTTTTTTTCAGGTCAGCCAAGTAATCAAAACAGCATCAGAAGGGGTAACAGTAAAAAAAAAAAAAAAAATCACAAGACTAATGGTGAATCCTGAGCTTGGGTGCATCAAGGAGAGGGGTAGGGAGACTTCCATGATATGGTAGAAGGGGGTTACAACATCTTTACTCTGGAAATAAAGATTAATTTCTCAGATAAAGATAAATTTATTGGGCCTCCCTGCTGGTGCAAGGGGTTAAGCACAGCACTATGAAGAAATCTGCAACCTCTGCAGCATGAGATACCCACATGGCACTGCAGACCTCTCCTGTCTTGCCTGCTGCTCCCCTCAACAGTGTACTTCAGTCAGTCTGCCTGTTCTGTTCCCCACTCTGTCTCTGGTGAATCCTTTCACCCCCCACATCTCTGGCCTGTACCC